GCGGTTTTATAATTTAGGTTTAGTTTCAGAACCAGGAGTCTTTGGTTAAGAAATTAAGAGTATATATGGGTACATACACATCAAATCGCTTGGGAGGGTTCCTCCGTGCATACGGAGTATATCCCACAAAAATTTGTCACAAAACAGAGAGCTTGTAGCTATCCTGGAGGGCTTTTGCACGACTGCTTGCAATCGAGCCTAATTCAAGACCGCAGCAATCACATATACAATAATCACCTAGGCATTTGTCACAAGGAGACTGTCCTCTGTATTGGATGACGAACTGGCTGCCGGACAAAGGAGGTGCGGCGAGTAACCCGAGGCATATCTATCGAGAGCTGAGAGAGGCTGTCAAAAGCAAATATGGAGGAACATGGCATAGTTTGCTAGCAGCGAGAAGTCACAGCAACAGGAGTGAAATCCGGCGAGATAGAAGATGAAGTCGAAAAAGTTGACGTTCAAAGAAAGTCGAAGTCGCGAAGAAGATGGAAGATGACATAAGCAACTTACTAGCTGAGTCATCCATTCATGGATCCTCACGTGACAGAGAGATCACATGCTTTTTAACGACTCCAAGAAAAACGAACGAAAACGACGAAAGACGAAGACGGCAGACGGAAGAAGGAAGAAGAAGAAGAGCCACGAATAAAGGGTGTATATTTGTTTGCCCCCTCTTGCTCGCCAGAAGCTCCGGCTGTGTCGTGATGGCGACCGTCCGCTGCATGCTATGCGCCGTTCTCCTCGCCGTGTGATGTCCGGGCTTGTCGTCCTGTCAAACGGCGCCCTTGAACAACCAACCCGCTGCGCAGTTAGTTACATCGACCGCCAAACACTGAACCCAATAAAACAGCCATGCAAGCACTTCACGGATACCTACTCGACACTCGCAAAGCCAGTCGTTGAAATTTTATTGGCCTCGACTTCCGCCTAATTTGTCTCTTCGTCTTTCATTTCTACCCTCCAACCGCTGACCACCAGCCTGCTATCCCGGTCTCCAGCTGAACAAGCAAGGCGGCCAGCGAACAATCATGGGGAAGCCGCCAAGCATCATCATTGTCGTCAGGTAAGGCTATAATATTCTTCGACCTCTCTTTGACGAGTGAGCGTGTATAACTAACCTGACGACTCCAGACATGGGGCTCGACTGGATGCGGCTGATAAACAGTGGCATCTTACCTCGCCCACGCCCTACGACCCCCCTCTGACATACGGCGGCTGGAAGCAGTCCCAGGCCCTTGGGGTCCGCATTGGATCCCTCCTACACTACCGCGAACTCTATGGGTGTCTTCCTTCCACTTTATCGTCCTCTGATGCTTCGCAGGAGAGCAGCCATCATACTATTCAAAGCCCGCCTAGCGCTGCCCTGCCAGAACAAGAGCGGCGGAAGCATCGAATCATCATCCACTCGTCTCCATTTTTACGCTGTGTACAGACGGGAATATCACTCAGTGCGGGAATCAGCCAGTCAAAGCGTGCATCAGCGGACCCCTCACCTCACCAGCGACCTCAACCTGGAACCCCTCCTCCATCGAGCCACCACCGCTGGCGTTCCTCTTCTCCACGGCCGCAACATCAGGGTTCACCCCAGTTAACTGCTATCCAGGAGCCTCAGGAGCTAGCTGGTGAAGCAAACTCCCAAAAGCCAAGGACAAACCTGTCGCATGAGAAGCAATGTTTGCTGCGCCTGGACGCTTGGCTGGGTGAATGGCTTACCCCGGATTATTTCGATCAAATAACCCCGCCGCCAGGATCTGTCATGATGCTGGCTGGTGCAAAGGCAAGCTTACTTCGGGAGGAGGACTCCCTGCCTTCCAGTGCAAGTACCCGGTCGGCACGTGGAAACTTCCCCGGAGGCTGGAACGGATTCGCCTCTGCCAATGCCGCTGAAGGGAAAGCTGAGAATACTCCACCACCTGTGTCCGCGCATGCCTTTGGGGGCAAGATGGACACTCAAAGCTCTTCAACTGACAGAACCGCCAGCATTCAGGGCTTACCGAAGCTCTCCACTGTTTCTTCACAGCCACATGATGACACCGAATATATCTCTCCAACGCCCACTTATGCCATTTCCCCCTCAGATCCCATACCCGCGGGGTATGTAGCACATGCGAGGGATGCTTGTGTTGACGTGGACTATCAATGGGACAGCATGAAGAGCCCTCTTGACTGGGGCAGCGGCGGGGAGTACGGAGAGGAGTGGAGTTCCATGCATCGCAGGTTCCGCGCCGGGCTCGAAAGAATGATTACCTGGTACAAGACTGCAGACTGCAACAAGAGTAAACGGAGGTTGTCCCACCGGGAGGAATGCCAACTTGTATCGAATGATCCGCCCGCCACAGCAGACACGACAGAAGATGATGACAGCGATACAGTTCTCATAATTGTTACACACGGCGCCGGATGCAATGCCATTATTGGTGCCTTGACAAACCGGCCCGCCCTCCTGGATGTTGGAATGGCTTCCTTGACTCTCGCCACTCACAAGGGCTCTACGGCGGATAACGTGGTGGCCGCCCAGCAAATGCAAAGGAAGCCGAGTCCAAGTGAAGTATCTGAAGAATACCAAGTAAAGTTGGTAAACTCAACAGATCACCTTCGCGTCAGCAATAACAACTCGGCGCAGTCACCGTCCCCTAGGGGGTTTCCTAGCTCTATATCATCGTATAGGCACCGGTTTACATCTTTATCGTCTGTTCCAGACTCACCAGATAATGGATTCTCTATTGGACCGTCGCGCAGTTCTAGCTTCAATGGCACCACCAGAGGGCTACACAATCTGTCACGATCGTTTTCTGTTGATAAACACGCTGCTCCAGGTTTGTGGGGTTCTTCCTCCCCTGCCAACGTGCCTGTCGACGATATAATGCCCGACTTCGAAGGATCTGCTGTTCCAAGAGGGGTAGGGGATGCATCTAACTCTACAACCTCTCGCAATAGTAGCACATCGGATGGTGCGCCTCAACGCGCGAGATCGCAGCATGGCCTCTGGAGTTTGAGGAGTCGCGAGCCTGTCTCAAAGAGACGCTGGACAGTCACTGAAAGAGGCGTATGAATATTTAGCTATCAAAAAGCATACCCAAGTTTGGTTTTATGGCTGTGACTGACTCACGGCTGTAATATTTCTTTTTTTTTCTAGTCCTAGGTAGCGTTATGTGTCTTCCGGCCCCACCGTTATTTTTACCACTTCAGATATTCCTATCCTGTATTTTGGTTGCTTTTGGAACAGGGTTTCCGAGTAATGTGATAATGAATTGATAGCATATTTACGACCCCATCAGTAGCTAGTTGCTCTCGCTGCAGCCTGCGGCTTGACAAAATAATTTCTACCATCCCTAACTATTTCCCGTTCGCCTGGCCCAATCTTCCATAGCCTGCGCATGTCCTGGGAGGTCCTCACCGCGAATAATACAGCGTGCCCGCCGCTTAGGTATAATCCGTTCATATCTATCACGATAAATATTTATATCCATAGCATAGTTATCATCGACACGACGTGCATATTCTTCAGCCTTGAAGCGAATGCCACCTGGAGGCTGTGGTCCGCCCTGTAGAAAGCTAATATAGGCCTGCACTTGAGTTTCTGAGAGTTGAAAGATCATATACCTGCCCACAGGGTGAATAAAGATATCCTTGCACTAGGGTGGGAAAATGATTAAGAGTTAGTGATTGAAGGATCTTACAAGAGAAATACAGGAGTGTCTTCTTACTTCAAACCCGGTCTCTCCACGATCAAATAGAATAACTCCACCGAACAGACGGTACTCCACCCAGTAACCAACAATGTCGGCAACTCCATTTGGGTATTGGCCCCAGGAGCCGTAAGAGGAATGGTAAAGCTCCGCCGGTAAAGCTTTACGGGGCGGTGGTGGCGGCATATTAGGGACGAGTTCCTCGTGCCATGTGATAGGGTCGGGGGGCTCTGGCTGATAGAAGCCTCCATCGTAGGCTTGGTACAGGTGGACAGCGATGCCATGACAGAGGACAGCAAGAATCTCAATCAGACGCAGGTGGAATTCTCTTGATCCAGGTTTGGCGTTTTGGAATGCTTGTGCAAGCTACTCACGAGCTTTTAGTACTTGTCCTCCGAGGTAGAGCTTTGAGCCCATGAATATAATGGTTATACTACCTTTGCACTGATCTGAGTATTACCAAGGTTTAGATTTCGACGGTAAGATTCGACAGCCTCTAAGGCTGCATTGCTTGGATGAATATTATTCTCGAAGCTTTTGCGAAACTCATTGAAATAGTCTCGATAGACGTCACGCGTGGGACGGCCGTCAACGACTTGGGCAAATGTCTCTGTGGCTAGATCGGTAAAAAGGATTGTCCAGAAAGCCTGTTGCAAAACCTCGAAGTGCTGTGGAGATACATTATCTAGCCCAACTGTTGCCAGGCTATGTGTCGAAGTCAGACGCTCAGCCATGGTCATAAAGTCCAAACGTCGCCAACAAGGAGATGATATTAAGTATGATCATGAAAGGAGAAACAGTGACCAGTGCAGTACTGGCTGTGAGTTTACAGGGCAAGGGGGAAGACTTCTGGTGCTTGGTCGGCTGCGAAGCCCTCTCTTCGGGTGATAGTTAAATGTGGCTGATTAACTAGTTAATCTGTCCTGCTGTTATAGCAGGCCAGGGAGCTCATGAAGAAGAGAGGTGAATAGAAACAGAGATATGACTTCTTTGAGGTACCGGAGAGAAAAACGAAGACTTTCTCAGTGAAGACAATATCAAGGGAATGCAAGCCTAGCTACCTAACGAATGTTGATGCTCGGGGATAAGTATATATATATAAAATTATCTCAGTTGTTCGAAAAAATCCCTTTGGTGGTCGAATGTTTGGCTATAACCACCAAAAACGCCGCCAGAAAATTCACTGATCCGCTGAAGTATGCCATTGAAGCAAACCCCCGGCCGCTAAGGAGTGCTCCATTAATAGGGGGCCCTACGAGTGCCGCTATAGCAGCGATCCCCATGCCCATACCCATATATGTACCTATGTTCCTGGGGTCTTTGGGAATGGAGGTGAAGGCCACCGCCATTCCCATAGTTACTGCACCAGAGCAGAAGCCAAAGAAGCAAGCGAAAACAACCAATGTAGCATTAGTATGGACCTCAGGCCAGCAAACTGTAAGGAGACCACTGCTGATGGTCGCTGCGAAAAACATATTGAAGCGGCCCAGTTTGTCGGCAAGAATACCGGTGACGACTCGACCCACGAACGATGCTGCGTTGAAAATCGCCGCGAGATAAAAGGCCAGTGAGACGCCTGCACCTTGGATATAGGCATAGATAGGTAGATAGAACAACGGTGTGAATACTCCAAGAAACCCAAAGAAGCCTGCAGCGACGAGATATAGATAAGGGGGCTCTTTAAAGGATGACCAGAGAAAGAACTGGTTTTTTCGCGGCGGGAGGCGGGCTTTGACTGCTATGCAAGATGGCAGAAGAAGGGCTAGACACACAAATCCCACGATGCGTATAGTCCATCCAAAGCCCAGCTCTGTCTCATTTAACATCTTACTTAGGACGATGGGCCAGACGATACCTCCTAGGGAAGACCCCGCTATCCCTATTCCCATGGCAGCGGCGCGCCTCTTGTTGAAATATTGTGGTCCTGCGGACATCGCTGGAAATATGGTCATGCCATTGGAAAGACCACCAAGAATGCCCTGAGCGAGCACAAACTGATAATACTCCTTGCAGACGCTGGTCAACATGATGCTCACAACATAGAGAAATGCCGCCGGCCGAATAACCTAACAGCCTAAAATCAGCCCGATAGTTGTTCAGTTGGTGCACTTCAATACTAGGTACCTTGGCTCCATAGAGATCAAATAGAGGCCCTCCGATTACACCTCCCCCAAACACGAAGAATGCCTGTGTGGACCCGATCCATGATATTTCTGATGCAGTCCGGTCCTCCAGCTGATTAACCTGGTACCAGCCCTGAAGAACCCTATCAGATGTAAGTACGGTGGACTTGAGCAACTGAAAAAGCACGATTGAACGGTATACTCACCCGAACGAATTGATAACACCCAAGGTGCAGAACGCTATACCGGCCGTGCCAATGGCAACAGCCCATGCGCGAGCGCCGCCTTCAGGAAATTCATCAAGGGTGTAGTCATCACCATTGCTGGCTTGGTTTGGCTGGTTGGGGATAGCCGCTGTCTCCTGGTCTTTCGCAGGGTTGTTGAGAGAAAGCTCCAGTTTGGAGGACGCCTGTGTGCATTGGACCATCGTGTGATAATTTAGGTTGGCATATTTGACTGACTGGAAGAGCAAGCTCATCTGTCATTTAAAAGGCTCTGATAAGCGTTGCTGGAGAAAGACCCGTGGTCAACTAAGCCATGCCCGGAGATGATGACTCAACCGGAGATCAGGTTGTCCCCTCGGTGATAAGGGACACTAGCTGGACATAAAATTTGACAAGGCGTTGACGGTGGGACCCACGTTGCTATTACCGACTCTTGAGATTTGTCATATCGAGTCGTATAGTTAGATACTTAGAAGTGGTTTTCTCAGTGGACATAAATTGCGTAGTTAATGGTCCACAGCGAAAGCTGCATGAAATTAACTTCCCGTACCGATACCCTTTAGTATTGAACCAGATAAGAGCGAAGTATCAAACCCCATCCCGGTATCCTGAAGCGGAGTTGAAAATGTTAATTTACTTGTACAACAAAAACAGGGATAAAGGCAAACTTTACCATCCCATCGTCAATAAGCCAATCATGCGTCCCAAGTGTTCTATCATTAAGTTGAGTATGTCCAGGGGTATCTATTCCGATGTCTGGTGACATATTAATTCCCCATGCCATAGCTCTGGTTTTCAATGTGTAGTAGCACTGATCCAAGCTCCGGTTCAAAGCAGAGGCAATTGCCTGTTCAACTGGCAGGCTAGCTTGGACGGCATTAATGTGTTCGAATATACATGAAAATAGCACATAGCCTTTGATGTTTGTTTCGCGATGTTTTATTCTCATGTCAAGGAGGTGGACGTATTCTTCGATAATTTCCCGCAGGTTTTGATGCGAAAATAAGCTCGAAACAGGTATGAAGGAGGACCTTTCTTCTTCGAGTTGGTAGGTTAGTGCCTCGCATATTGTGCTGATAGCCATCACGGGCACATCGCGGAATAAACCGGTGCCAGAGATTTTGAGATTTGTGTAGTTGTCATTAGAAGATTCGGTATCATTGGAGGCGGAGAGGGGGGCCAAAAGAGAGACAGCTAGCTCTATGCATACTTTCCGGGAATAGTATAGGGTAGGATCTGCTCTTGCCTTCATGGCAAAAGGGTGGTGTAGCGCGAGTAGGAATCGATATGATAACAGGTCTAGCATCTTAATCTGGAACGAAGCGGGGCGGGGCATGCCAGTGGGGAAGGACTGGAATAGGAGATAATTGTCTCGACAAAACGAGGATAAGCGAGAAGCGAGATGGAGTGTCTTTTCATAAGAGTGTTCCGAGCGGAAGTCGTTTAGATATTGGGCTATCCCTAGCCTTAAAGGAAGCGATTTCACCAACGCAATCTGGACGGAGGTCATAGTATATTCCTCTAAAGGCTTCGCATGCGTGGCATCTATAATTTCATTGGCACCCTCCAGCTGCTCGTCATCAATGTTAGAGGGCAGCTCAGAGTCTATATCTTGCATGTGAATTAGGGGAAGCCCGCCAGAATCCATGCTGGACTGCACGACGATCTCCAGGACGGTCGCCCATAGCCTTCGTCGGATTTCTTGGTCATAGAAAGTAACATTAGGCAAGTGTGACGGGTCGATGTGAAGTCCAATATGCATTGCAGTCCTTAACAAAGAACCTGCCGAGACCCAGACCAGGTCTCCCCCGACACCGTTCGCCTGGCGTGCCAGGAGTAGAAGACAGTGAATCTGTGTCCCTGAGACGTTGATTCGACTTTTCTCAAACGGAGAGTTTAGCCATGATTGCGCCACATATATCCATTGGGATATAGTAGAATAGCTGGTGTCCGATGCACTGCGAGCCGGAGAAAAGATAGAGCCAATGGACATTACAAGAAGTAGCTTGACGATAAAGTCGGGACTTGAGGAGCCGGGGTTATCCCAATGGCTCTCAAAATCGCGTAAGAATGATGGCACGTGTAAGACCCGGAATATCGACTCAAAGGTTCGGAGATATGCCTGCACTAGCGGTTCAGCAACATTTCTAGGAGGAACATGGTCCAGAATGTTTGCAACTGGGTTATGTTTAGCAATTTCTTGGGCCTTAATAGCTCTGGCCAGGGATTTGCATTTATCGTAAACTGCGCGAGCTTCGGAGGTCTCGTCTAGTTCACACTTCTGGAGCATGTCGTACACTTGAGGGAACTAGTGATAATGAGTATTCATTGCTTGAATTTGCGTAGCTGGCAAAACGTTGTTACGCACCTGATAGATACTATTCATCCAATGACTAAGACCAAAGAACCTTGTCTTTGAGAAGATCCCTCGGACTACGGTATTCTCCTTATAGGCTGCAGATGACAAGGCTGCAGCAATATTTACAGCTTTCGGGGCAGAAAGCGAGTCTGTATCTGAGCTTGGAGGTTTACCGATATCAGGGGTAATAACTGGGTCCTTCACATGTAACAAGTGGGCAGGAACTCGGTCAGAAGCGTTGAAACCAGGTACAGAAAGGCCCCTCGTAGGCTCAGCAGCCGCCAGCCTAGTGTCTAGAGTGTTGAGAACAGATATCTGGTATGGTGTCCCCTGGGGGGCTGTGGAATGGCCTCTGCTTGAAGGACCTGCGGCAGGGGGACGGGGCGGCGTAATGTGGCTCGTCGCACGACTATTGCTGAAGCTTTCGGCGAGAGAGTCGTCATCGGTAAGATAATTGCACAACTCCGTCTTGGAGCGACAACATTGCTCGCAGGGCAGATTCCGATCACATCTGCTGGCAATTAATATAACAGCCTTCCTCCTCGTAGTTATTCGTCCAGGTACCCGGTTCGCTTTGGGCTCGACTCACCGAACCTTTTTACGCCTGCACGGCTCACATGCTAACGTCGGCCTACGGCGTCGGCGCGATGGCCGCGCAGTGGAGGCCCTCTCCATACAGCTAGATGTGGTCGTGGTGGTGGAAACTGGAAATGTCCGGCATGGGCCACAGCAGACGAAGAGTGATAAAGGAAGACTGGCCCCAAGGATACGATAGATATAACTCGTTAGATGTATGAGCCTAAGTTAATACACAGATGAAATCTCTGCTCGATCGATGTTAGAGCTGACTGAGCGACGTGCATTTAACAGGCATAAAGGAGGCAGAAGCTGTGATAAACTAGTTACCTGTTAGTAAATATCCCAAACGAAGTGAGCAGGCCTTACTAGATAGAATTTGGTGATTAATTAACTTGGCACTAATGCCTGCCCCTTTATGAGACTGAATTTTGACCCGATGGTCCATTCAGTCCGTCGGAGTAGTTAGTAGTTAGTTATCCCCTGCACCCGCCCGGGCCGGGAGTTTGATGGCAAACTAGCACAACGGCACGAGCGGGTCGACCCGTACCTCCCAGGAACAGGCCAAAGAGACCATGTCTTTTGATCCAAACTGCGCGAATCGATGACCTTAATACACGCAATTGTTTCGGGAAGCTCGAGTTCCTCTGCTACATCTCAGCGAACTTCCCTCTGGGGACCCCATTTTGTGCCAATGCTTGAGGCTGATTAAATAGTTGAATTGCTCGAAGCCTCAAAACCAAACTCCCTTAGAATAACAGTCCACTACTAGAGCCAGTGGAGAACCAAGCAAAATAAAACTGATAAAGTGGCTTCTGAAGTTCATAGTACGTTATTGGTAAATCCGAAGCCAAATTCACCTGCGGTTAAAAGAGGTCGCGGCTAAAGAGAAACTCAGATCCGCGGGTATTACAAACAAAGTTTCGCCTTATCACGTGGGAACGTTAAACTAACTTAATACTATTAGTCAGCGGCTCTTTGCTCTGCGACGGCGAGCCCCTGAATTCAGCCAAGTAAGCAGTTATCCTCCTGGGAGAGGTTCTTCTCCTTTCCTCCAACGGGTTATTATAACTACCTAGCTTCGGAAGTACTGTATTTAGTTTGCCTGCCTGACCGTGCGTTGATACAAACGATACACCCGCAACTAAACCTCCCAGGAGAGAGAAGGACGCGATACATAAGCCCGATGCCCGTCGGAGATCACGGGCATGGCCCGGGGATAGTAATGAATATCCCCGGTGCAAACAATTGCTCTGCTTCCCCTGGTCTTATTCTCCAATGCTAACAAACTTTCCTGAGACGTTCCTAATTATGGGCGAGTATATAACTTGGATGAAACCTGTACTTGTAAGTATTGCCTTCGTATTCTTTTCTCCATCCGTCATTTCTTACTTGTCGTTTCCTCGCCTTTGCTGTGTGTGCTTGGGCTATAAATCCTCCATACAACTTGACAATCATGCTGTCAGAGTCACTTAAGTTCTATGGCAAGGGCTCGCGGGCGATGCTAAGCATAGGTTTAGCCCGTATGTACCAACATATACAAGCAATTGGACATCGATGGTTATACCAGGCGACCCCATCGCCGAAGAATGTGGTAGTTCTTGGTGGCTCATATGCCGGTATCCACCTTGCCCAGCGACTGACAGAGACATTGCCGACTGGCTATCGGGCGGTCTTGATTGAAAAAAACTCGCATTTTAACCATCTTTATGTATTCCCAAGGTTCGGGGTGGTCCCGGGAATGGAGCAGTCAGCTTTCATTCCATACACCGGAATTGCTAGCCACGCACCTGCTGGTATCTTTCAGCATGTTCAAGACTCCGCAACGAGTGTCACAGGAAATACGATCGAACTGGCGTCGGGCAAGAGCATTAACTATGAGTATCTTGCTATTGCAACGGGATCCCATCAACCCCCACCGGCAAGGATGAAGTCTAAAGACAAGGAGGATGCATGTGCTGAAATGCGTGTGATCCAGAAACAAGTTCAGAATGCGAAAAGAATTGCAGTGATAGGAGGAGGTCCTGTGGGAGTTCAAGTTGCAACTGATATCAAGAGTTTCTTTCCGGCTAAGAATGTTACCCTAATTCACTCACGGCACCAACTCTTGCCAAATTTTGGTCCGCGTTTACATGGGCATATTCTGCAGAGACTTGACCGGTTAAATATTAAGAGCATATTGGGTGAACGACCACAGAGCACCACAGAAGCAGTTGATGGGACTGCCCCAATTAGTCAGGAGTTGTCGCTGCGGTTTAAGAATGGCTCTGAAGAGATATATGATTTGGTGGTAAGGAACTCTGCGAAACCTAGGGATTTATCCACTGCCCTTTTCTGAATTTTATGTATCACACCTTGGACTGTAGACACTTATCGCTAAAACTAGACCTCGTACTCTAGATCTGGTGCACGGGACAACTCCCAAACTCAAGCATCCTCTCGAAATGCTTTCCCTCCGCCATATGTAAAGAAACCGGCCAGATCCTCGTTCATCCAACTCTGCAGGTCAACAACAGTCCTGGAATTGGAAACAAACACATTTTTGCACTGGGAGATGTCGCCAAAACCGATGGTCCACGGATGGGCCGGGCTTGCCAATCCCAGGCAGAAATAGTCGCGTCAAATATTCTAACACTGATCAAAAGCCAGGACCAACTTGTTACATACCGTCCATCTATCGTTGATAGAGTAATCAAGTTAACACTTGGAAAGGTAAGAGTGATGTATTTCTGGCTCAGTTCTACCTCCACCTCGTGTATCTACTAACCCTTCGGCTACTCGGTAGAACGACTATGTCTGGTATGTGAAAGATGATAATGGCCGCGAACTGATGTTGACAGGCAAAGGTGGTGGTACTGACCTCAGCGTTGGCCAAGCCTGGAGCAAGCTTAGAGTCAGCCCAAGAGATATAACTGGCCATTAAATCACAAACTACCTATTGAAGCTATAGTATATTCTTCATTATTTTTTATAAT